AGTATATCCCTTGGAATTCTACTCCCTTTGTGGTTCAAATATTATACATTAATATCTCTAAAAAACAACTATTCTTATTCTAATACATTTATTTGTGGAGCTGGTCAACAAGTTATAGATAATTATTAAAGACAATATAACAAAACTATCATTTCTTGTGTTGCTATGAAATTTAATGTGTTTTAGGAGATAGTTGATGAAGTGCCTGCCACAAGCCTGAGGACTTGAGTTCAGATTCTCAGCATCTGTCAAAAATCCAGGTACAGAAGCATGTCCCTGTGATTTCAACGCTGGCAAGGGAGAGATCAATGGATCCCTGGAGCTTACTGGCTAGGTGGTCTATCCAATCAGTGAGAGAATCTCGCTGTCTCAGAAAATAAGATTGAGAGAGACTGAGGAAGACATCTAATGGGAACCTCTGGCCTCCACAGCCATATACATACACACACATGATCATATTCACCAGCAGTAATATTTATAAGGAGAAAGCATTGTTAAAAAGAAAAAAAAAGCCATGAGAAAAATCTCTCAACTGTAACATAATCCAAATGTAAACATAGAGATTATTGTCAAGCTGTTCTTTCTTGTTAACATACCTTTAGAACTGTTTTCTGAGGCATGCCTGTGATGGCTCAGAAATGAGTTCATAGGGTCCTGTTAGGTAATTTCAGAGATGTCTCAAAATATGATAACGTGAGCAGAGTAGGCAGCTGAGAACATGAAACTGTGCTCTGCATCCTATCTCCTTAAAACCACATCGCTATTTTCACTGACTTAAATTAATTATCACCTTCTTCCTATTAGTTTGGGGGAAGATCTGATTACTTTCATGGAAGAGGCAGTAGGAGGGTGATACCCTTCCTTGGCTGATGATTCATTGTGCCAGCTGCCCGCAAGTTGCAGGTCTCCGCACACCTGGACACATGCACCGGTGACTGATTAGGAAACACATTTATCTTGGCGCATCACAAAGGAGATGCAACCATAATTATTCTCCCTTGTAATGAAATGCATTTTGGAATCTGTGTCCACCTATAAAACAATCCAAAGTATGCATTTGGACCAAATCCATATAATTGTGCCATCTGTTCTTGATACTTAGCACTAAATATTTCCCAAATCATTCTTGTGTTCTAAAAATAAAACACAGTTTTAAAAGGCCTGCTCTAACTGTTAAAAACAGTCACGAGATGTCATTTTAAAGACTAACACTAATGAAAATGATCAAAACTCTGAGTTACTTCAGTTGATAATTACAGAACCTGGCATTAACCTTCATTGTGTACTTAAGAAATTTTGTGGATTTATCATGTTTTAATTTTGAGAAAATGAATGTACTGGCTAAGTTTTTCAGAGTCCTCTAAATGAGAACTGACTTAACTAGCTCTCCTGAGTGAAGGAGGAAAAAGGGACCAACACTTTTGTTCTTCAACCTGTCTCATTATATTAACCTCAAAATTCTGGAGACTCTTAATGTGTACTGAGAAAACCTATATACTAAGACCTTAGTAAGATGCTATATTAAGGAATTAGAGAGATTTCATAGCACTTAAGAGCATGTTGCATTATATCTAATTGAATGATTGGCCAAAGGGGTCCCATGGGAATCCCCAAGTAAAGCAGATTGTTGCCAAGGCAATTGGTTTCGTTCCACACTGATGATAAGGGCCTGTTGATGAAGACAACAGCTACATACTCATAGAATATGGAGATGTTGAGGCAGTGCCTATGTAGAGCCTTTACCTCTACATTCTACTTTCTTTAGAACAGGATAATACTCTGCACACTCTCAAAAGAGAAATGAAAACACCAAGCTAGCCACACACCCATTATCTACATTGGTGTATTGCTTGCAAGATATGCCAGGGCAATGGAGGCTCAAAGCTTTTCAGAGCCAATGACTGATTTGACTTAAAGTCCACTCCAGGACATGAAACCCATACCTGACTTCTTGGGTGACCAAGAGCCTGAGACTACAAAGCCAGGTACCAAAGGGAAAACCAAATAAGACTGGTCTATAATAAGGGGAAAATGTATTGATAAAATGACTTCTAATGATATCTTGCTGTATTCATAGATCAGAAGCTTCCTCCTGCAGCAGATAGGAACATAAAAGAGAACTATTACACATGGAATGAAAGACCTTGGAACATCATCCTTATATGGGCAGTTTCCATCAAATCCCTTCTGTTGGAGCTCAGAGAACCCCACAGAAGAGGAGGTAGAATAGTTTAACAGCCTGAGGGGATGGAGGACACCAAGAAAACATGGACCTCTAAAATCAACATCAGCAAAGCTCATATTAACTCAAAGACTGAAGCAGCATGCACTAGGTGCTCTACATATATGTTATGTTTTCTGCTTTTGTGTTTTGATGAGATTCCTGAGTGTGTGAACAAGTGGGTCTCTGACTCTTGGGCCTTCCCTTGGACTCTTTTCATTTTTGTTGGTTTGCCATGTTCTTTTCCCATGGGATAGATTTTGTTTTATCTTATTTTATTTAAAAATAGTGAGTAAATGAATGAATGGATACCTCGCCACTAGGGTAAATGTTAACAAGTGAACTTTCACTTACACCTGCTGAGAAAGGGAAAATCAATTTTCTCAGCAGGTATAGAGTGACACTGAGTATATCATTCCTTCCAGAGCAAGCCTCATGCCCTGGAGTAGTTGATCAACATATAATTGGATGCCAACATTTTGCTTTTGTTTTTGTGGGGGTTTTGTTTTGTTTTTGTTTTGGTGTGCATGTGTGTGTGTGTGTGTGTGTGTGTGTGTTTACAGTTTGATGGTTGTAGTAGTTTTGTTTTATTGGTTTTGAGGAGTTTTGTTGCATTGGGTTTTTGTTTGTTTTTGAAAAAAACTTAAAGTTGAGTGGGTAGGGAAGGGGAGAGAATATGGAAGGACTTGGAGGAGGGGAAGAGTATGGTCAAAACATATCTAAGATTAAAAATTATTTTATATAGTAAAAATATAATAGTAAAAGTATGATCTACCAAAGGACCCAATTTTCATTCCTAGCACTGATGTCAGGAGGTTTATAGCTGCCTATAACTGTATATCAAGAATATCTAATACTTTGGGCCTCTACAGACACTCATGTATGCATACTTGTGTGTGTGTGTGTGTGTGTGTGTGTGTGCATGAATGTGCATGTGCAACATGCATTAGCAATATGTACCTGACAAATTGTTAAGTCTAAATTGTTAAGTAACTCAACCTAAAATATAAATTACTTCTATAGTACTGATATTGGGACCTAGAATATGTCTACAATCCATAATTTTCTATTTTTATAATGAATATTCCCTTACATTAAATTTTAGCAGTCTCCTTAAAATATTTTACCTTTAAATACCATAATAAGCCACAGTTATTTGTTTGATGTAATGGGAATTCAATAACTACTTTACATAAAGTCTAATATGAACTGTCCTTTCTCTGTGTCACTACATACATGCTAATGAGTCTACAAAGCTAGCAATTTATCTCTAAAATCAATGTATTAGAGTCAGTAGGTATCCTGCTTATTGTTTACAAGAAAGGTAAGAATCAGTTTCTGGTAAAAATTTTCTCTACCTCTAATTTCAGTTACAAATATGAAAATGTTCTTATAAATTGGCCATATGTCTTAATAAACAGGCCTACTTCATATTGAAATTACATATTGATTTACAAAGCAATTTAATCAGATTCTATGAGGAATCATGTTAACACCCATTGTTGGCTTGTATGTTCCAAACTTTGATACTTTGCCTAATGTAACCAGCTAGCTATGTCCTAGTACACTCGGTGCCATAATTTGATAGTTCACTGAACTGACAACTCTTAGGCAAACCCTCTGGCTCCAACCTGTTCCACAGTGGTGGCCTTTCTCACCTACTATATGCTGCTGCTTTCCCCACAGGCCAGATCTCTCTTCTCTCTCTTCCTCCCTCCCTCTTTCTCTCTCTTTCTTTCTTTCTCTCTTTCTCCCTTCCTCTTCTCTTTCTCTCTGTATCTCTTTCACTCCTTTCCCCCCCTCTCTGTTTCTCTTTTCCTCTCTCTTTTTCTCTTTGTTCCCCTGCCTCTCTGGTTTTCTCCCTTCACCCCTTCCGTGTACCAGTGGACACTTAGTCACTTGATACCCTTGATGAGCAACATGTCCCAGAATGAAGTTAAGAACTTCTCACTTTCTCTTAGCTAGCTAAACATGCTGCTGTGGTGTTAGTCACACTACTACAAGTTGTATCCACACATTTCATTCATGGAGAACACAATAAAATGCTTGAAGATATGCCTCATTCATCCTGAAAGTGGCTCCTAGGACAATGGGTTGAAGATAGCCCATAAATAGCACTATATTTTGTATTTCTTAAATTTTCCTTCTTTAATTCATAGATTTTTAATATACAAAGTCAAATGTTTATTTACAAATTATACAACTAATTTATTTTGCAGTCCACTTGACACATTATTTAATTAACATCAAGTCATCAAACAAACATTTTTAAGGAAGAAAAGGTTAAGAAAAATCACCAAGCTTCCAAATTTACAAGTTCCTACAACATTTTTCAATTACCTCATAAGTTTCCCTTGATTATATTATTATCTCTAATTATACAGTTTTTTAAAGGACATGTATTGCCAGAAATAATTAACTTTTTCAGATCAGACTAAACTTAATAAGAGTTCAAGTTAGGTTATATGTATATGTTTATATATGTTACATAAAAGATAACTTTATTCTTTCCTACATTCAGATTATAAGGTAATTTAGCATTGAATATTCTATATTGTTATATACACATAATATTTGACACATATTAATCTGTAATATATTTATATATGTGAGGAGTAATTTATTATGAAACTTAAGTCAATTTTTCTAACAGAATAATGATAGCAACAACGGTAAAGTTAAGTGGCCCACACTGAGTTTCTCCTTTAAGTCTATCATTTAATTAGAAAATTTAAATTTTATGTCTAACAAAAATCTCACAGTGAATAAGGTTACTTACTTTTCAGGGTTGTCTATTTCTTCAGTAATAAAGTTGAGGTAAAACCTGTATTATAAATAAATATTAGTACATTTTACCATCACAATCCAAAGTTTCACACATTAAAGATTTTAAATCAAATTAAGAATCATGAAAATTACATTAGAATATACACAGGAAGATGAAAATATGCAACCAGCGAGAACTCCCACAGAACACTTCCTACTAAGCCATAGTGGAGTCACCTAAGTATGTGAAATGTGATGGCTGCAAGAGTGGAAAGCCCATAGCCTGTAGGGCAAACTCACAGTTTATTGATGTCTCAGAGCCATGTGATACAGTGTCAGGAAAGGGCACAAGAACTAGAAATATAGGGCCATCCCAGAACCAAGGTCAAGAAGCATTTCCAGATGAAGTCCCTCCCAAACCAAGACTTCAACAATGCAGAGCATTTACCCTAGTAAAGTGTTATGAGGTTTTTCTGGGTCAAAGTAGGCCCAAAGCACAGAAGTGCATCCTGTGGTTATGTGCTCAGGGAAAGGAGGGATGATATTGTATTTAAGTGTGGGAAGGGGAACTAAGCATCAGGTGGCCTGTGCTTCCTGCACATCTCATTGAGAGTTAGGAACAAGAAACACCTATAGGATAGCAACCTTGCATGAAACTGCCGTTGACTTTCTACACAGAACACAGCACATGAGCAAGGGTTCAAAAATTGTACAAGTGATAGTTTATTATATGTCTCAAGTTTTCTAAAAGAATAAATTTCAAATGTCCTACCACAGAAAATTAAAAATTATATGACAGGTATATGGCTATGATAATGTTAATTAATTATTTCATGTTCTATTTATAAACCATAACTTAATATTTACATCAGGAGTATATATAATTTGTCAATTTGTAATTTTGATTAAACTTTCCACTCACACTTCTTCCTGTAGAGTCTCTGACAGTATTTATCCTACATAACCTGATTCACAAACCTATAGAGGAAGGGAAGTCTCAAGATGTTTAGACAGTTCATTATAGGCACACTGTAACTTACTACACTGTTTATCTGGAATGAAAGAGAAGTTTTAAACATTTCCCAGATCCATAATACATTTCTGGAATTATATGCAAAAAGAAGCATTTCAAGCACAAAATATTTCACTTTTAAGGTCCATGGGATCTCAAATTCTTATCCCAATGTCAGGGCCTGTGAAATTCTGATCACTTTTCATCACAGTAAGCTTCTACCAGGCTTGGTACAAGGGGTGGTTTGTATCCTTGGCCTCCTTTTCCAATGAAAACGGGCTGTTATTGGCCCTTTAAGTCCTACTAAGTTCTTTCTAAGTGAGGTTACTCGTCAAGTTAGGTTGAAGGACATTCCATTCTCAAATAAGAATAAGGGACAGGATGAAAACAATGAGGAAATTAAGACTCTGCAAGAGTACAGCTGAACCTAACAATAGCAAACTTGCTACCTATTCACTCCATCAGCCCAGGGAACTTCCACAGAGTGAAAGTCATGCATTCTACTGTTATCTTATAACTTAGATTCTAGAATATCCTATTGTATGGTTCATGGAATCATAGTCTGAAAGTCAAAGTTTCCTCTCTCTAAAACCAAATATCCAGAACATTATTAGCCCATCATCTGCCACATGCTTCAAGCATCTCACAGCTTTTGAAAAATGGAGGAAGCTTATCTTGCCCTGTGATCATAACAATCCTATCTGAATCCACTAGTCAGCTGAGGTTCAAGAAGAAGACAGGTACAACTTTTAAGGACTGAGTTATGAATTAATCTTTGAAATATATAGACTGAAGAAACAATAGCAATAAGTGCCATATAAAAAGTACACACATACATACACTTGACTAATGGTATGTTTTAACAATTAGAAAGTTAAAAATTTAAGAACAGCAGTTGTTACTGTGGGAGGATGCATATAATGTCATTATTCAAGGAGATGAAACTGTCAGTGTGACCCTTGCTGTGTACATGTTCCATCTGTCAATATATAATACAAGACTGGCTTGCAGAATTATAAGGGGGGACTGTAAATAAGCTACTCCCTGCTCTGAGTATACCAGACATAGTGCTGTGAAATGTACTACTTGAGACTGATTTGACATGTTCGTTATAAGCCCGAGGCAACAGGCAGTACGGGAACCAAATAAAAATAAATAAGCAAATATATAACACCCTAAACTGAATAAACCACATGAATTAAGGAATATGCCAGGTTTTGTATGTCAAAGATAGCCAGTTGCTTCTTGATAGTTGATGAACTGGTCTTTTCCAACAACTCTAAGGCAAGAAGAAAACTATCTGTGAAAAAGAATATGACTCCAAGTATTTTTGCCATGGCCCTTAAGAATAGAGAAAAATAAAAGTGCCTGGGTACAGTTTGGGGAGAAGAGGAGGAAAATGAATCCACACACTGTGGGAAATATACCTTAATGCCTGTCCAGTCTCTAATATGTAGGTCCACTGCATTCTCTCTCCCCTGGTTTAGTTCTCAAGGTCCCCGGAAACTGCTCATGAGGTCTATTGTCCAACATTCTCTATGACTCTGCATAAATACGATGGTTGACCCTGCACTGTAACTCCCAACCTTGTACATGACTTTTAAAGGAAACAGATTCTTTAGGTGAGATTTGACACAAAGGCGTACAATAATCCTGGCTGATGCTTCAGGGAGACTAAATCCATTGAGGATCCGATTAAAGAGGGCGACAAAAGACACTGAAAACCAATTTTCTATCACACAGTGAGAAGAGAGGGAAAAAAATCTCACCACACTATGCTTAGCTTTGGACCCAGATATAGGACTGAAATTGGTTGACTCCCCAAGGCCACAGGCTGACTGGCAGATGGATTCCTCTGAATGCGGACATTGGCAATAATATTAAAGTTGTGCTGGCCCGACTCCGTGACCTGACTGAGTTAATGACTTCTTTTCCCCTAATCATGTTTCTGTGAAGGGGTTTTCATCATTCTGGATAGGCTGTGTGCTCCTCAGAGCCAAAACTTTACTCCATCCAGGATCCCTGAGGGTTGGTGGTATCTTTTTCCTATTCCGCCTAGCAGCTGGAGGTGACTGCTCTTACAGCAAGGTGTCCAAGTCAACAGTTGACTAGCATGCTGCCTGTCCAAACGGTTAGAAGTCTGGCCTGCAATTCATCATCATAACTGCCTTGCTTTTGTCTCATTAAAATGTCTCCACATTTTTTTTTTAGACAAATATTGTTCTACAGCAATAAAAGAAGTAGTAGCCACTTAAAGTCTTGATTTATGTCTGCAAGCCAGTTTAGCAATCATATGGTAAACGATGGAGAATTCAGATAGCAAAGGTTGTTCTTATCATGCCCATGTCTATGAGACACAGTTTAGACTTCCCTTTGATCCATTTCCATGGAAATATCTGCACCTCTGGATTGCCAAATCCACAGGCACTTCCTTCTAATTCTGCTTCTATTTTTTTCTTCTAAGACTGAGAGCCATAGATTAATAACCAGATCATCTCCCCTCTTCACAAAGAGGCATTCAGCCAGCAAACAAACTATTACAACTAAATACTTCCTTATCATCCTATAGCTAAGCCATTTGGATCCGATAATATCTCATTTAAAATCCTAGACTCACTTTTCAACCCTGTGACTGAAACCTCAAAAATACAAAGAAACTGATGGTTCCTGGCTCTCCAAACTGGGGTAGAGATACAAGGATTATGTAGACAAACGTATAAATAAAGTTTTCTGTAAACTTCTATTACCATTGGAAGTGGTTGCATTTTGGATTTGGCATTGGTGAAATGCAATATTAATAAGAAGTCAAGATGAAAAGAGTCTTTACACACACACACACACACACACACACACACACACACACACAAACCCCAAAGAAGTGGAGAAAATTGGCTGTACACAAAGCAGGTGACCTGAATATTCAGTGCTGGGTGGTGGTGGAGTCTGGGTAGAAGTGTTTTAAGATTCCGTGGGAACAGACGAATGGAGCTCACAGGCAAAAGAGACTCCATTGAACAGAATTAATCAAATCTGCCGTGTGAAGATCACCACGCTCCACATTCTTGAAAGAGTACAACAGGCTCCCAGCACCCAGCTGGAGCTGAAAGCTCTTGTTCCCTCCCCTGCTTTGCTCTGTGGCTCCCAGGGACCCTCACAGTGGCTTGGCTGCTGCCCCAGGGCATGGAGCCCTGATCCAGGCTCAATAGACATAGAAGAGTTGATTCTGCTTCTAACACTGTGATCACACTCAGTTCTTTTCTCTGCTTAGCACCGCATTGTGCTTTGGACAAAAGTGAAAAGACTTCAAAAACACTGAGATTCAGAACTAAAGCATGCATACAAATGGCTGCAAAAAGTCTTCTGTGGGTATACAAATATTATATGCTGATCTTCTTACGTTCTAACCTAACAGCCTTCAAACATTTTTTGCTTCAAAGCTATGCTAAGCCCACATGGCTAGACTCTGCTGAGTTTCTTCTAATGCCACATTTTCACAATTTGTGAGATTAATAGGGTACACACTGCTTATTTTGGAATGCATTTTTATATTCTCTGGAAGGTAATACAATAAAATTGGAGGGGGGAGAGAAATTTTTATTTATGTTGTACATATTTACATAATTCTTGAGATAGCAAAGTTTCTTGCTGGCATTTTCAGGCTCACAGAGGGTTATCATAGCTTTAATTACTGGTTTTATAAAGATGCAAAAAGAGCTCCTATAGATGATTTACTCCAAAACAATAAAAATTAATCTCTCTGCAATGATTCTGATGTTATACCTAGTGGGCTTTCTGGATACTGTCATTTCAACTAAAGCTTACAAGGTCAATAAGTAGTTACAGGAAGTTCCTTGCTCTGGTATTTGATTACTGTGACTCATGCTCCTCAACAAAACACTGCTATACCAAGACGGGAGAATCACAGGCAGACAAGCACAAGGGACATAGAGTTAGTTCTGGTATCATAGTGCCATTTATATTTGCTAGCCATTTTTGTTTTCAACTGCTGGAAACACGTTAATGAAACGTCTAAAGGCTGGGACTATGCTCCATACTACTTGACCACTTAACTTTTATTATTGTGATTTCTCCTTTCCTAGTTTTATCACATGGACCATTTTAATATCTTGAAACCATCACATTTCTACATATGAATTGTTTCTTCCCCATGACACAGTAGAAAAAATCATTTATGAATCTCTTTAGTACTCTTGCACAATGGCTCTTTGACAGGGCAAGTACTAACCCGGAGTATCCCGTTGCACTATATTGTCCCCACTGATGAGTAGTTAGAAGTAATTTATACTGGCTGTTAAACCCCAACATTTGTTTATTCGTTTTTATGACACTGGACTAAATCTAATAGCAATCTCAACTATTTGAGAGCCTCAGATAACAACATCATAAGCTTCAGGCCTTGCCACACTGAAGGAAACTGAAGGGGTTTCTTTCTATTATCCTTCCATCTTTCCTCCATGCTTCTCTTTTTTCTCTCCTAGGTAACTGCAGAAACTATCTTCCCCTAAGTGGCTCATAGAAACTAGAACTGATCTCCCACAAAGCCAACAGTACAACCTAGAAATACATCTCCCACATTCTCCACCTGTCTATGGTAAGTCTCTGCTGTACCTTGTCTCAAAATACAACGTGAGATTCTCAGGTGAGAGAGGTCTATCCTATCGTCAGGCAGAAGAAATGTCACACAAAGAAACCAAGAAGACTCCGAGCAGACAGCTCACTTAGTTTCCTCCAGTCTATTTCTGTTGCACTATGTTTTTTGTCAGGAAAAATATTTTTTACTGGCTTTATAGGTCTTCATTGCTGAGGCTTCTGTGTTACTTGAAAGTTTGACTAGATAATTTTCATGTACACGACATAATGAAAATTTAGTTGGGGAAGAAGTGTGTGATATGATACTTCTATGATAAAAAGGATGAACAGGACAAAAGGCAAAGAAGGTATTTAATACAAGTATCTGGAGATATCAACTTACCAGCCAGCATATGCATACATCCCATAATAAAAAGCCAAAGGCAACCCCGTTAGACTTGTATCTCTTCCTGAAAATGCATCTTTAAAGTGATGTGTTTGCCCTGCAATTAGAATGGGAGGAATTTTAGAACATAACAAAGAATTGGTTACTTATTCCAACCTTATATATGGTTTGGAGTTGAGCTTGGCTGTTCTGACTCTGTTCGTGAGGTCAACTCTATCTACTGATACTGTACTCAGTCTAGGGCAGGACTCCCAAACGCACACATGTTGTCACCTAGACCATTTGAAAATTCTTTTGTAGATGACCAGAAGGATTAAAGTGACATTTATAATGGATAATTCCATTTTTCTTGCTTGAGCGTCTTCTGTTTTAACCATGAAACTGAAGTTTTAAGACATTGACAGAATTCTTAGACAATAACGTATGACCTGGTAAGAGATGAAAAGAAATGTCAGCGCCTACCTCAAGTGAGGAGGCATCCACAAACTGCCGCACTGCCTCCCCACATCACTGAGCATCTCATTTAGCCTCCTGCTGACTATCCATGTAGTCCCTTCCACGCCTGCCTCCTAAAGCAGGGAAAGGCTGCAGACAACATCCACTCCTAAAGCACAAGGCTTGTTCATATAAAGGTTCCCTGGAGCACAGGCATATCCACGCACAACCGATGTCTATGGCCAATGTCAACCAGCAGCACAGTGTAATTAACTGTGATAAGTCATTCTACCCAAAAGATTTTCTTTATAGATATAATTTATCAATATCGTCTTGGTCAATGCAACCATTTTTTTTTCTATGAAAATGAGTAAGAGATTATACTAAACCCCAAACCAAGTTCTACCAACTTTGGCACCAACATGTAGACCGAACACCTTCATCCATCATACTTTTTTCCCATTTTTTGAACAGTGAGGTGCCTTTTGCTTTGAATCTTTGGGACAGTTTAAGAGGTTACAAAATCAGATTCATGTTAGGCAGCACAGATTAAAAATTAGACAAAAAAATATGTCTGCCCTGCCATCCAAACAGCAAATGAGAGCATAGGAAATTACCAAATGATCAAATAGAAAATGATCTTGTTTAAAAATTGGCTGAACTTTATATAAGTAATAAAAAGCAGTCATGAGGGCAGGGGGGTGGATGATGTATCTACAGCACTGTCTTGTAAGTCAGATGCCAGCCATTGCTCACAGCAGGAGACCATCATTCCTAATGACAGAATGTGAGGATGGGGACCAATGAGGACACAGTTTTGTCAATCAATGAATGCGGTTTTTCTCAAAGCAACCAACTTCTAAATATAGGTTTATGAAAACTTGACAGGAAGAATTCAAAATGCCCATTTTGCTAAAATATCTATATGCTTTAATAGAAGGAAAATAAACACATTGAGATTCAGAAAAGGAACATCTGTAGGGACTGGAGAGATTGCTCAGCAGCTAAAAACACATATTAGTCTTGTAGAGATCCTGAGTTCAGTTGTCAGCATTCATGACAAGTAGCTTACAACAACCTGTCACTCCAGCTTCAGAGCATTTCATCTGATGCTCTCCTCTGGCCTTTGCAGGCACCTGTACTCATGTGCATATGCACACACACACACACACACACACACACACACACACCAATTAAAGTTTTTTTTTTAAAGAGAGAAATCTCTATTGGATATTTTTGTATAATCTGTGGTATCCTTAACCTAACAAGAGAATATCCTTCAGAGTGTAGCAATTAGTAATTAATAATAGAAAATATCTAACTGTGTAGACTGATCCACAGATGAACCCTTTTGAGAGTGTTGCAAAAGAGGAACATTGTTTTTGAACTTCAGGAATATTTTGGATATACAGTGCAGGGCTTGGAAAGATGAAAGTAACATATTCAAATGGAAGTTTCAGGCCTTGTAGGCTAACACACAAAGTCCAGCTACAACCAGGATCTGATTAGAGTAGAAATACACACACCATACACAGCAGCGAAGTCTTATTTCTCCTGGGGTGTCACAGAAATGTGGGAAAACTAAATGATCACGTTATAAACTAAAACCTCAATTTCATAAAATTACGTAGTAATAAAGGAAATGTGTTTCTCTCCCATGTACTAAAATATGCTCCACAGGCAGGAATGTCCTCTGGGAATTTTTCTGTTGTGTGAGAACAATAAGAATTAAAGTGGTCCTATGAATTTCTGATACTATAAGCAATAATTAGAATATCACTCTATTATAGCTGACAGGAAAGTTTCAGGAGTTTCATCATGTTCTCCACTCTCCAGGAGTTTGTAATACAATATCAACTACCAACCATGTCTCACTTTGCACACACACATAAATGAGGGGTCAGAACCAACTACAGAGTGTAACTATCTATCACATCTGGCATTACACCAAGGAAAAGCCACATAACAAGAACACTAGAAGAGCTAGTGACTCACCTTCCTCTCCTTTCCAGAAACTGAAGGGCTCCCTACGGATGACTAGAAAGTCAACTCAGGAGCTGGAGAAGCTGAGAGTACGGGCAGTTTTGCCTCAGGTCATGGTGGAATGGAGCAGGCCAGCTCTACAGAGAGTGTGATGAATTGGGACAGCAAGCCCACATCTTATCTCATACAGACCCTCCTGTTGAAATTCTTCATTGTGTTTATTCTGGGGCTGAGGTTGCTGGATTTGACAGAAGTATTTTACCAGCAGGACTCTAAGATCACCCACTAGGCTAATTAAATGGACAAGAGCAGTTCCCGCTTCTAACTAGAGTGATCAAGTTCTCAAGGTTGTTGTTTGGTGCCTCTATGGATAGCAATGGCTTTGCTGAACTTTGCCACTTCCTTTTGTGTTGGAATTCTCCTCCTGCAGGGTCATAAAATTTCTCTATAGATTCCTTTGCTTGGAACTGACAATGTCAATGTAAATAAGAAATACTTAACATGCCCACATGATATGTTACCTCTTTCCATAGATTTGCTAGAATCATTCCTATTTCCTGCTGTAAATTCAGTAACTTGTTGGACCCTCTATCTCTTCCAACCATTTCCACTAAATCTAAGGAAGCACATATACCATCTACTAGGGCCAACAATACACTATGACATCATCACTCAAATTCTTATTGTACTAAATAAGAAGCTAATGACAAATCCAAAAGCTATAGCATTTCTTCAGAAATGCAAGTTTTACATAGAAAATAATGTAACAATAAAAGCTAAGTTTTTGCAATGTTTTATGTTCATATAAGGATCTTGATTTTAGGAAGGCTATTTCAGTACTCTTCTGTGGATAGTAATCCCAGTGTGAAGAAATACAAATGAAAGAAATCAAGAATTATCAGTCATCATCCATTATATTTCCTGAGATATTTTTATCTTTCATATTTGTTTCTACTATTGAAAGGTTCCAGAGTACAAACAAAGGATATATTGATGTGTACTTATAGCTAAACAGCAAATTCATTTTGGTTTGAATTTGCTTTTGTTTTTGCTTTTCACTTTGGATTTGACTCCAAGCCATTTGTATCAAGGGAATTCGCAGACACCTTATTTTAGTTGCTCAATCTAGTCTTAATTCTCTTGCTGCCATTCAACTATAAATACCAACTCATCCTCGATGTAGCCTTTCAAATCAATTAGATGACAGTACAGAGTTTAAGTTCCACAAGCAAAGACTAATTAAGGATTCTGCTAGACAAGCGAAAGTCGGTGTTAGAAGAGACCAGAAGCAGATACGCAGTTTAAAATGCATTTCCTTTTCAGTCCATACCTTTAATTAGCTGTATAACTCCAGGGACTATAATTATCAGAATTGCTGTGAGCTTGCAAAAGGTTAGGAAAATCTGGATCCGGGCACTCCAGCTGACACTCATGCTATTTAAGACCATCACCACAGCTGCAAACAAACAGACACAGTTACAAAAGGCAAAGCCCCATGAGTACAACGATGTCTTAGGTCCTTGTCAGTCGAAATGTGATCTATAAACCTGCAGGGCTGGCATGAACTATCAGAACTTAAGAAGTGCAGAATCCCAGGCTCTGCCCAGATCCAGGCTCTCCTATGTTAAGACTGCTCTTTGAGACACATTCAAGCCTGAGAGGCTTAGATAAGATTCTGCATAGTCAGAATACCTCTTTTATTCTTTACACATTGGTAACAATGAACATACACTGGTGTGTAATAACAATAAAGTCAAATATCTTGGTTCTGAAGTCATCCAGTGGTCAGGATGGTGCTGAGCTTGTCTCAGGAAGGGGTAAGAAGTGCTTTGTCTGAGATCCTATTCTTCACCATCAGGACCAGACCTACTCAGTACTATTCTTGGAATTCCTGATTTCCAAGTAGATAATGAGGGGTGAGTTTTAACCTACCCTCCAAGTATTAGTTTCCAACATATGTTTGCTATTTAAACATGAGATCTTGTGCTTTTCAGCTTAGGATACACAGTGGGTCTAAAGCCAGAAGACTTTCCTCTTAAGATACTGTTGACAGTTTCCTAAGCAGCTACCCTAGTCCACATCAAAGACAGAACATTCTGGCAATGCCAATAATTGCTAATAACCTGTTCCTGGCCCAGGTAGATAACTAATGTATTTTTGTTGAATGAATGGGTGAATGAATTAATTAATGAATGAACTGGGTTCTCAAAAATATTAAGGCACAGTTTTAATGGTGGTAGTCTAGGCTTTCATTTTCTTCTTTTACGGAGTGTTCAGGGTTATTCTGCACAGTGAATTTCAACTTTATGTTCTTGTCAAAAACATAGGCACAAAGCCCAAAACAGCAGCTATTTCATCCCTGGTATTTCACCTGAGTTTCACCAATAAACTTTACTTTAGTAAAGATGTATTCTCCCTTAAAAAGATTTTTAAATGCATAAAATTATTTCTCATGGAATTAAAAGAAACACCAGCAGAATTTTTACCATTCGAATTAGAATTGCAGAGTCAGGAGCTGTCACTGTGCTTCCCTTGTATAATACAATCTATTAGCTCAATTTCATAATTAGGAATTGGTGAGATGTTGTTATTATACAGTAACTAATGTAAAGATTAAAACAATCTATACCCAAATGGTACCTAATTAATATACATTCTTTTAATGGTTTTAGATAGCCATCTAAAATCAATATACAGTCAATCATGCATCACATGAAATGGTGTTTATGATATACCACTGAGCCACAGTAGGGTAAATAGTCATTGATGGATGCATGGGGAAATGATACAGTCTAAAACAGAGGAAAGGAGAATGTCAGGAGAAATATTTATCGAATAATATCAGTGGCTGGAGAATTAGCTTAGTGGTTAAGAGTACCAGCTCAGCTGTTCTTCCAGAGCCACTGAATTCAATTCCCACATGGTGGCTCACAACCGTCTATAATGTGATCTCATGCCCTCTTCTGGCACTCAGGTGTACAATGCAGATAGAGCACTCATATACATAAAATAAATAGATAAGCCTTAAAAAATAAAATATCAAGAACCTATAGATGACAGAACATCAAAATATTTCAACTTTGAAATTTAGTTTACAGCAATATTTCAACAAATTTGAGGGAGGATACTACTTTAGTGACTATGGGCAAACTAGGTCAATCTGTACACAACTAAAACTAAAGAGGTAATGGGGTGAGGTGTCAGATACGGTCACAAACTTTCACTAATTAACACTTCACATGGCATATGCAGATGAACTTACCACAGTGTATATACCAAAATAACACAATTTTATTTGCCAAATATACCTCAGTAAAGGTAGACATTTTAATAAGTAAGAGCGGTAACTTAAGTCTTATTGAAAAAAGGTGTGTGTGTGGGGGTGGGGGGTTAGAAGTCTCCACTGAAAGAGAAATAGGGGGAAGGAATAAAGTATGTCAAAGCAATAATGATGAGAATAGTCAATCAGAAAGTCCTGGGGTGGGGAAGGGAGCATAGTTCAACTATATTTGAAACTGAACACATGAAGGAATAACTAGATCTACTGTCAGAGCTCAAAGGCATGAGTTTATCAGAAATGATGAAAAATGAAATAGTTTCTGTCTCTAATACACACAGAGATGTTGCATATAAAAAATAGTCAAATACAACCCTGCTTCTCTGCAAGTTATCTAATGAGCATCTATTTCTCTAGGCAAGTGACTGCGTGATTGATGGTTCATCACATGAGAATGATGACTCTTTTAATTAAAGAGGTCCAACTTTGACATAAAAGTGGAAAAAAAACGTGGCCTTGGTTGTCATCAGCAACAAAGAAACACTGTGTTTGACCTATTTCAAGTAATCCAGAGTAGAAAAGAGGCCCTGGGAGGAGAAAGGAGAAGAAGAAAGAAGAAAAGAAAGGAAGCAGACATAGGGCACATGAAAAATATTCTCATTTGAGGAACACCTGACCATGTGCATATTTGAAGAAAAAGGGTTTATTGTCCTCAAAAGAAAGCAAATGTTTGATGTCCACTGAAACAGGAAAAACAATGAGGATCTAGGATATTTTTATGTATTTTCTAAAGTTTAAAAGACAAATGGAAGACAAAAGTCAAACAAACATCATAATCCTTCCACCTTGCTTTCCCTTAGCTAAGGAAAGAAGTCGTAGTAAAACTGGCTTTCCTCAAAGGTTTCTCCAAACTAGGCTTTTTTTCTGAGCATCTAGTATCTCTCTCATTAGTAGGTATGCCATATTGCAGTAGGTTCACCTCACTGACCCAGAGGTAACTACAGCTTAGCAAGTAAGGAGGCCGCCTGTGGAGCAGCCAGGAGAGATTCTCCATCCTATGTCTGAGCAGTGGAATTTAAATGTGCCTAAGCGACTTATCCAACAATATTGGATAGGGTCTTGATGTTTGGTAAACACAGGAACATGCTGAGCTTCTGACATAAACCATATATCTAAATTCTTAAATACACACACCATCTACCCATATCTTACTAATAAGATGTCTGTGCCAGTGCTCTGGCCCAAGTCTTCTTTTAAGTAACCATTCACTTCACACATGGGAAAAAATTGTTACTTCAAACTTTTACCAAAATGAAAATTCAGGAATAGGCAGGCTTTATTTACTTACTTAAGATGCAGTTTCCTAGAAATGAAAATGTAGCAGGGAATGCTATATCCATAAATTCTAGAAATAAGAAGCCCATTTTTGAAAGGAGTTGTATTTTAAAAAGATGTTTAGGGGAATCTTAAGAGACTGGTGCTGTGGTTTAAGGACTACCAAGTATTTCTTTCTGCACATGAAATCATTCACCGCTGTCTTTCATTTTGAAGAGAGATGTTACAGATTATTGGGTAGTCTCTCAGATTCCTATTCTTTCCGACTTCCGTCTTTGGAGCGCTTCGTGCTAAACTGATAAAACATACAGATGGTATATTTGAATGGCACATGATGAGATAAAGCTGGTGCCTCCACTTCTCTCTGCAGCCGCTGCTGGGTTGCTTTATCTTTCAGCATCCATTTCCTGGACGCACTGATTTCAAAAAGAACCTTTAGAAGGCAGAGGACCAGCTCTGTATCATTGATCTCGCTTTTAGGAATAGACATAACCAGCACTACATAAATGTAAACTATTATCTTCTGTCAGACATTGTGCAAAGACATCCATGGATAATGTTTGCCGATCCTCACATTTCTGTGACATGGTTGCTATTATCAGGCATGTATTTCATAGGAGCAAGGAAAACTCCAGGTTCTGTTTAACTTGCCAGTGTTCATATTCAGGCAGTAAGTATTAAGATAAGATTAGAAGGCTGCCAGTAGGTTAAGTCTGGAGCTCAAGCCTTTACCATCAGCTCACAGATGAAACAATAAGGAAATAGCTCAAAGGGTATGTGTGAGCTCACTGATACAACCAGTTTCCTGACAACTTGTGACTTCTCTTTTTCTTAGTTCCCAGGGAGTGTTCATGTCTGACTTAGGATCTCAGGGCACTTGAATTCGATATTTTATGGACAATTCTCCTGAAGGATATGGCTGCCACTCCTCAGCACTTGTATGTCTTGCTGTGCATATCTATCAAAGATTCAGCTTTATTTTGTTGTAATTTAGCTAATGGAGGAAAGGAGTAAAGATACATGAGATACACATGTACACACTATGATTGAATTGCCAACACAGACTAATCATATATTTACAATATAATTTGAAGGCTCCAGGAAAACAGAAACAACAGTAATATATTTGTAGAATTGGCTGGGCTGATTTGAGTTTGTCTTTCTCTGTGTGTACGTGTTTTCATGTGTTTGCACAGTGCATGTAGGCGTGCATGTGTATACACATATTAAGAGGCCAGAGACAGTTGTTGACCATCTTTCTCAGTCATTCTCCACATTATTTTGGAGATAGGATCTTTCAATGAACCCAGAGCTCACTGACTTGGTCCTGAAGGCCTTCCAGTCTCTAACATTTCAGTCCTGGGATTACAGGCTGAGGGTAGGTCTTTGTGCTTGCTTAGCCAACACTTTACCTCCTGAACCATCTCTTCAGCCCCTAGCTATTTTTCACAATGATATATAAATGCCATTTTCTTTGTTCCTCTTGATTACTCCCACAAAGGTTAATGCTGTGCAATATGACTTTATCGCTGTAAAGTTAACCAGCAAAGGATATGAGGCCCAGAGAGATGTGCTGAGGAATGACACGGTAGATATCATGACACAAGAAGAAAGTACTTTTATAATAGTCCACTTGACAATAGTTTTCTTTAAGGTTCATATTCCTCTTGAAATTATGCTTCTTTAGGGTTCAGCTTTAGAGACCAGAACAATAGACTCAACATTTTAAATACTGAATATATGTCTCCATTCCTTCAAACTGTAAGAGTTACGAAGCATGTTATCTTCCATAGAAGGTTATTGATCATGTCAGAATTGTGCTTAGGGACATAAGCCAAAGACAACTTACAAGATTTTCCAGTTACACTTTGACATACCTAATTTTTTTACTAAGATGGACAGAATTTTGGATAGACACAAGTGTCTCATGCTTATCATTGGCCATAAGTGGGGTTCTTTGAAAAATGAGAGTAAATTAGCATTTAGATAAATCTTTCCCCCCCACTCTGCTGATATCTTTCAAAGGGTCTGTTAATATTTTACAAAATTTTAAACTCTTTTGAAGTTTGACCTTTTTCTATACTAAACTAGAGACTTAAATTCCTCATTTCCCTCAAGGAACTCAGGGAAATAATTTATGCAATTAAACTCTTAGTTTCTACGTCTCCACAACCTTTTCCTGTAACAGGCAAAACACCACCTATATCTACTTTGAAGAATAAAGTATGTGAGAGACTTGCCTCCAGGAAAATTTCTCTTTTTCCATCCTCTTCGCCCTGTTGTTCCATTAAAGCTAAATTCCTCTTAAAGGCCATTTGACTTCTTCAATTAATGCATTGCCTTAAATTATTTCCCACTGAGACATGAGGATATTCCCATTTCTCTTTCAGTACTTCTGAGCTTAGGAACTTGTTCCCTGATCAGGATCTGTAGCTTATGTCAGAATTTACAAACTAATATTTATAACTTGTGGCAAAAATAGAAGGAGACATAAAGAGTCCACCAAGCCTCCTGGCTCTTCCCTACCCATCCCTCCACCAAACTGCAAATGTGAGCCCAAGCACAGCTTAGTGAACCTTTCTTGAAATTGCTTTAAAGGATTTTTTGGGGGGGGACTTAACATTTTGAATTTCATAAAATACTAATGTCTCCTTTAAAAAGGCTAAAAAAAAAGTTGGGCTTAATAAGAGAATCATCCAGACTTTCAAAGATAAATTATAAACATATCTTCATTATTCATCTAATATCTTGATCAAAGCAGGTAAAAATTGTGGCTTTGTAAATACCTTCATAGCAGATAAAAATCGTGGTTTTGTAAATATCTCCACATCAGGGTTTGCTTTAAGATCTTTGCTTATACCTTTTGGTTAGTAGCATGTATTATTAGTCTATGGAGTTCTTTAAAATACTCCTTTTCTCTTCTCAGTCTTCATAAAACAACTGTGATGTGACATGGTCTCATTCGGGGAAAGAGAATATGGCAGATATAAAAATGGCTTAGTCCAACCCTTTCATGCAACCTCAGAGTCATCAAGAGCTTCCCATGTTCTTGATGGGACTCTTCAAAATCTTAAAACTCTGATATAATTTTATATTTCTACAGTCATTCAAGATACATTGATATTTCATCAGCATTTTATAAATCGATAAAATAGAATCATAAATAAGTTTAACAAATCACATAACCAAGAAATCAGGACTCTTTATTCCAACTCCAGGTTGTAGGTCTCCAGGGAATTATAACCGTTGTGTGAGATGATTCAGCACATAAAAGCTCATGGCGCCAGTTCTAACATCTTGTCTAGCAGACTGTATCTTTTGACCACTAATCTCCCTTCTTCCTGAGTACTGAAGCCACCTAAAACTTTGGTTTAACAGGTCACAAACTACAAGTACTTCTACTACAGTAAAAAGAAAATCCTTAGACTTCTTCATACAAAGACAATCAGTAACAGACAGCTACTAAGCACAAACAGGAAAGCTAAGCAGTGTGGAGGGACTAGAGATGTAGCCTTGTAGAGGTCCCTGGTCTCTGGGGAATTCTGGTGACATTTCTCTACAGAAGTATAAATATTCATCACTAGCCCTGCATTCTTAATAAGTCACAGTCATCATCACAAATACTCTATATACGACTGAATCCTCACAGCCTCCCCAACACTGGTATAATTATCTCAGGAGAATACTGAGATACAGAGGAAGTGAGGCCATTTGTCCCTAGGTATTCCTAGGTCTGTGGAATTTTAACTGCCCAGAACTCCAAAATGTCTATGTTGAGTCATTTCCTTTGTCTTTCTAGAGATATCACAGAACAACTGTGTGTTTAGGATTCAGCTATTTAGTTCAGACATCCACGTCTGTCATACCAGAGATGGTTTTACATAGAATCACTAGCACTTTGTTACAGACTAGCCCCTGGGCCATCTGTTGTCAAATGTGAATTGATCTTCGTGTTATTCTAGTAAGGCACTGTGAAGCAATTGTCTAACCAGTCTTCCTGAGTGGGAAATTCCTGTGTAGCATTTCTGAGGTTGTTAAGTGTAGTTAGCCATGATCATATGGATTCAGACAACAACAGCTCAATCAGCAATTATTACCCTATTCCATGAGATTCCAGAATGTTACAGGAAATGACCATCAGATGTGGCTCCGTATCACTATGTAATCTTGTACATGTTCCTCTTTTAATTTCCTCTGTTTCTTTAACCTCTAAAAATCTATGCCCATTAATAATAATAATAAAGTGAACAACTTCCTAATTTGTAGCCCATAGAGAAATCTTCTAGCTGAGAAAGGCTACTGACTATCAAATCTTTAGGAAAAAAAAATCTTATCATAGCCAGAAATAGGTAGAGAAAAATGGTAACCCTAAGGGCGACAGCTAATATCACTGTAAACTACACAAACACATCACATACACTCATATAAACATATAAACTCAAGTAAACTTAACCGCAGCACCATTCATGAGTAATAATTCAACGTGTCACTGGGGTGAGGTGATTTCCAACACAAAAACAATTCCTCAGAATAGTTCTTCATCCTGAACAGTACCTTCTGATGCACAACCCATTTAATGTTTTACCAAGGAAGCACTTTGGGTTCATCTGGTTTAAGAGATCAGTCACCACATCTGTTGATTCAATATACAGTTGGCATACATTGTAAGAGCAGAGGCTACTTCAAACCTTGTGTTCCTGTCTCTATTTTCCCACACAGATTGAGAACTGTAAGCACAAAACAAACAAACAAACCCACAATTTAGGGGATACCATGCAGAGACTCTAAAGAGAATTTGCCTCCAATCACGTTGTTACATTGCTTGTCTTCTCTGTTACAACTCTAATACTCACTGATGCCCACAGCTGTTACGAGCTTGATTGCAAGTTCAGGAATTTCACATTGAATAAAAAATGGTTCCAGAATGTAGCGTCCAAATGCCAGGGATATCACAGCAGTAGCTCCGGGGCTGGGAAAGAGTATATTTAGGTTAACTACAGGAAACAATAAATAACATTTTTGCTGATCTTCAGATCTTAGTATTTAACATGTGGAACATATTTAACATGAAAGTCTATCATGGTTAGAGCTTCATATTTCATTAAGTTGCCATACACTCCAAATGCAATATTGTCTACACTAGGAAGGGCTAATTTGAAAGAAAAAAAGAAAAAAGAAAGAAAGAAAGAAAGAAAGAAAGAAAGAAAGAAAGAAAGAAAGAGGGAGGGAGGAGGGGAGGGAAGGAGGGAAGGAGAGGGAAGGAGGGAGGGAGGGAGGGAGGGAGAGAGAGAAAGAGAGAGAGAGAGAGAGAGAGAGAGAGAGAGAGAGAGAGAGAGAGAGAGAGAAGGAAACTTGTTGAAAATTAGTAGTTAGAAATGTTTATGCCAACATGTCTAAACATTTAATATTGATTCTTAGTTTCCTAGTAAAAAGAAACCTCAAAGCCAAGTGAGTAGTCTTATTTTCTTAAGAATATTTATTTAGAGAGAATCACAGAATAAGAAGACAAAAATCAGCCTGAGAAGATAGCAGTACAGACAATAATAAGTCATACCCCTTGAGTTCTTCAAAAGGAAAAAAGGAATATTCCATTTCATCTTAAATATGAGGGCATATTCTTGCCACACACAAGGAAATCCACAAAATTGCTTAACATCTCAAGCAAGAGTCCCTTTCAGCTTCTCTTCCTTCTTGTGGTTAACACCTAGGCCTGATCCCTGGATCACCAGAGACCAACCCATATTACCTGTCTCCATCCTTGATCTCTTACCTCCAGTCAAAACCACAAACACTGTAACTTTCCTTTCTCCCAAGAGACTCCTGCCTCTAAAGGGGACATTTTGCTGTTCTCTATCATTTATAAAAGTCTTTGATTTCTAACCCTAAATCTGGTAGCATCATTTCAGTATCCTTAAAACATGCTCTGACCGTGGTCAGGTCTTGCACACACAAGCTTCCCAGGAACAACAACTGAATCACTTCTACCTAGAGCCATTTCATATAGCTACTGTTTGTACTTAGTATCTGGTTTTAGTCTAGGTCCAGGGAAGTGACACCAACCTTCCCTTCATCTAAGCATCCTTTTACATAGCACCAAGCCTGTCCCCTCCACACTGTTTATTACAGTAGGGTTTTTATTCTAGTTAAGGTGAGCCCCAGATTGAAATCCAATCTTTCTGCTTGACTTTGAAGTCTGTGGAAACAACACTATGTCCATCCCAATAAGAATGCTATCCCAGTGCAATGGTGAGCACAGCATCTGTTACAGTAGAAACTCAATAGGTATCGAACATCATGTGACTACATGACCTCAACTTTAACGTCCCCATCATGTTCTGTTGAGTGACTTTGCTTGGATTAGTTTTTCAGATTATTTATGACAACACCGACTTAATTTGAAAGTATAATTTTAATGAGAAGCATTTAGATATCATGGATATTACTTTTAGATATCATGAGAAGAAATGAATTTATATCCCAGGGAATGATGTCCTTCATGTAATTTGCTATTTTGCTAGTTTGAAAGACTATCCTAGGGAATACAACCATATTCAAAACTTCTAGGATTTTTTTTTTTTAGGTAACATGGCTATGCACATGCATGCACTCATGCATACACATGCATACACACACACACACACACACACACACCATATAATAGTACTTTCAAAATTAAGGTGCATCTGATTATCAGCTGTTTAGGAGCATGAATTGTGGCTCATTCCAATTTAGATCTCTTTATCTTGCTGTTTGCCACTCGGCAGCAATTTGCAGAACGATAAATTAATGAATGGGTACCATATCTGTCCAGTGCAAATGGAATGATCATGCTGCCATAGCAACACTGAACAATTAGCTAAAGTTACACCACAAATGCATGGATGAAGATGGAGTAAAGATGAAGGACATGAGGCTGGGAAGTTCAATAGCCTGACAGACCAGCATTCTACAGAAGTGTTCTTATTTTGATGCTGTGAATGTTACATTCAAAATAACATAATCTTGGGTTTCCCAACACTTGTTCAGAAAGAATTAGTATCTAGAATACACAGGGTACTGACGTAAATAGTATGAAAGTCATAAAAGGTATAAGACCTGTTCTCACATACTTGAAATGCTTATAATTCTAATAGGAAAATACTAATAGGTAGCTAAAGTATTACAATACAAGGTGTTGAATTCAATGTCAAGTTATGTGTAGAGGCCATTTTCGTTTTTCAGAAGAATTAAGAGGTTGAGAGATGAAAAAGTACCACAAACTAGGGATAAACCAGAAATTATATATATTATATATACTATATAATATATACATACAAAATAAACTTTGAAGAGTACATATGATTCTGATGACAGAGAGAAGTACAGAAGTACATCCCAGATAGAGAAATCTTAGGAAAGCCAAAAGACAAAACAAACACTTTTTATCGTCATTAACACTAGCAATTTCTAAGCAACAAAGAACTGTTGTTACTAATGAAGCCTGCACTACTCTGAAGTTCGCTATTAACACCGTAACAATTGTTAGATACTTAGAGCTCTGCTTGTCACTTCTGTTAGTGGCAGAATGAGAACTTCGTTGATATTTTAGTACTCTGAGTCTTCTGTTTACCGGAGGACAAGGTTCCCTAATGATTTCTAATGAACTCTGTGATCACAAAGTACAAGTCACATCCCTTAAAGCACAAAACACCTGTGACACAAACTGTACGTGTGACATCACAGACTCCTCACAATGTTAAGGGAAATTTGCTATTCAGAGTGACTTGGCACTATTTTGTGCCAAGAGAATCAGGAAGGGGGGCAGAGCCTTACAGCAGTACAATCAAACAATTTTTGCAACTGCAAATCGTCGGTTTGTTTAACGTGAGGAAATGAATCACTCATGCTGTGTTAACTTGATTTTTTTTTTCACTATTTGTAAAGCATAAGACTTGATAATACACTAAGTTGTTTGGCACAGACATTTCTTAGTCGTAAAAGTTAAATGTCCTGATGACATAATCAACAACAGCAAAAAAAAAACCACCTTTAATTCCTAACACATTATATCGTGTCTGGTCAATCCAAGGTGTAATTTATCAAAGTGAATTTTGAAGATTCCCCTCATCTCAGATAAATGCCTTTTCCAGAAAAACATATATCTATAAAAAAGTTGGAGTTTAAAGAAAACTTTTTTATGTATTAGAGTCTGTATTTTTTCAACAAAGTCACATGACACACATTTGTAATTAGTTTAGACAGCAAAGATGATCCAGGAAAGTGATGAAATGAATAGGTTTATTGTCCCTGAATTGTTTCCATATCCTTACCGTATTACAAGCAGTTCCACCCAGACTCGAACAAAAGCTAGCAAAGGACCAAAGACCTCCAGAATGTATGTATAATGGCCACCAGATTTCTTTATGCTCGTACCCAACTCAGCATAGGACAGGGCTCCTGTGAAAGGTGATAATAAAAAGGCACAAAATTTACACAGCATCAAGTAGTCATGTGATAGAAGCAACACATCATTGTTTGGGTTGCATGATCCGTGGCTACTTCCTTTGGTCAGAATGACCTTCTTCATGGGAATAGTTGTCATCTCTTGAAACATATCAAGTTCCTCTTTTAACTTCCTCACACTTAAGACCTACCTCAAACTAATAAAAAAAGAAATGCCAAGAACTGGAAAGATGGCTCAGCAGTTAAGAGCACTGGCTTCTCTTCCAGAAGACCCAAAACTCAATTCCCAGCATCCACATGGGGACTCACAACAATCAGTATCTCCAGTTCCAGGTGATCCAATACCCTGTTCTGGCCTCCCTGGGCACCAGGCATGTGCAGAAGCAAAGCACTCATACACATAAAAGACAAATAATATTAACTGAAAAAAATGTAAGGAAAGAAATTTTGTTTGAAATAGTACCTACAAACATGATTCAGAATTTGTGGTCAGAAACCAGAGAAGAAAGGGAAAAGAGACGGCAGCCGGCCATGATACTGACCTATTATTTAAATAACAACACCATCTTATACAAAGACAAGGTACTCACTCAAACTGACCTCACTGTGGTATTTTAATAAAATTTAATAAATAATGTTTCTGTGCAAATTAAAATATAGGTTATCTGTTCTCCAGGAAAGAAGAGACTACCTGTTGTGTGAGACTTCAGTTAATAGATGCAATATACTTTGTCAGCAAAATGAATATGACTCGATTGTTCTGTTCCTAGAAATGGTTATTCTGGATGTTTTTAAAAAGTACACATATGCAGATAAAAAAAATGATTCTTTTAAAACAGAAATTCCGTAATCTATAGTCATGTATGTAATGAAAATCAATCATTAACTAAAATGTGAGTGTAACACTAGTATAAGATTGGGAAAGTTATATTTAAAGTCCTCAAACCCTAAGTTTCACACCCTTTGAAGTGAAAACATGAATTTCATCTCGTTAAAGCATCTGGATGTAAAGCTGGGAAGGTGAACCACAGATAGGACTGACTCTGACACAGCAAACACACCACATACTTTACTTACCAATAGCTTCATAGTTAATTAGGAAAGACATGAAAAATGAATCTTAGTTCCATCCAAAAGCCAATCAATCCATCAATCAGCCAATCAATCAAACACCTGTGTCTACATCACTTAGTGCTCAACGGTAACAGGGTTTCTGCCCAAGCACCTAAAAAAGAGGCTCCACACATGGAAAGTAATTGCTGATCAGTAGTGTCCCCTGTAGAATGCTCAAAATAAATATAATTTGGAAAATTCGAGAAACCTGAGTATCACTCTGTCAGGCTGACCTGGAGCTATTTTTAAAGAGTGAACAAATGAGAAAGGACACTATGACCACACCCCAGACTCATCTTCTGAGACAAGACTCCATCCAAAAGAACAATCCAAGCACTTCTGCTTTCCAATGCTCCAGATACTAAAGTGATAAAATTACAAACAGTCACTCGAGTACTTCATTAACTTAGATCTAATGACAACTAGCAAGCTTCTTTTGGAAAAAAATGGACATCATGTTGGTAGGTTGTCCAGAAAAGCAACCAATATAACCTTGTTATTGGAAAGACTCTTAAAGACCTTGGAATTTACTGTCAGGGAATCAATGCTCAGACCTCTGTACACTTTACCCTATGTATACATTGAGTTCTGGGGGGAATGGAATTTTCATTTAAAGGTCTCAAGCTCCATAACTATATGCCCAGATGAAAAGAAGTTCAAAGAAGGCTATAAAAGTCCATGTGTTGACCTAAGTGCTCAAAAAGTTGTAAACCAAACACAGATGCTGCTCCCCTTCCAGAGGGGTGACCTTGCCCCCAAAACATGGTACATTCTAAACACCAGTCAGTGGGAACTGTATATACCACACATAACACTAGGCACTATCCTACACACTTGTCTGGAGCTAGACAACATCATCCTACAAAACTTCATGTTATAGTTTTAAAGATATATCAAATAATTTATTGAATAACCAATTACTGTCACCTAAAGTAAGCTTAACTGTAAGTTTAAAAAAAAAAAGCTATCACATGCTGAACCATCTTAAGTTGGGTACCATCTAGGTTCACATTCTTGACTTGAAAATACCTAGACCCTTGAGTTCTGGAGCTTTAATAAAAGAAGAATTTTCTCCGTATATTTTTCTTTGCTTCTTATTTGTAAAGACTTGGTGATAAAACGCTCCTAGTAATTTAAGTAGCAGTAACATGAGAGAGTATCTCTGAAGTTGGCAGTCAAACACCCACTCCAGGTTACATCACACCCCCTTAGCTCTGTAGTTTCCTGAGCTCCCACCAAATATGGCGGACTTATGTATAGGCATATGTTCACGGTACAAGTCAGTGTGCCTTTAACTAGCTCAACATTCCAAGTATTTTATTTTACAGCATCTGAATAAGCATTGATTGTGTGTGAAAATCAAATCACACAGTGAGAGCTGCCTGTGTGTAAGTATGCAAAGTTCAAGGAACTGGTTGTAGTTTTTCTGATTAGATATTGATTTATTCTAAATATATCAAGTACTGTAAGATGCTTGAAGCCTGAGGGTACACAGTCATTTAAGATCAACAATTGAGTTTCTTCTTGCTTATCTGAACCTGCATATGTCAGAACCACTTTAATATTAATAATGATAAGGATTCTGTTGGAATTTTTAATAACTGTATTACTCCAAAGAATGAAGCAAAGGGACAGCTGTCACCAAACATTTCATAAAGCATAATCTATTCACATAAATGATGTTGCCAAGTTCTCCAGATTCTTAAAGTAATCTCTTCATAGATTTTTCTTTAGCAAGACTGCTTTCAAAATTATTTGAAATGCCTCTTTCCTAAAACCAGGTATCTGAGTTCTCTAGGTAGGAAACTTTCCCCAATCGGTGATTTAAAGTATCACAATACCTGAGCTGAAAAAAAATGAATGGAACAAGAGTTAGCACTTGGTTCCAGCAGAACTTGGTTCTGGGTTAACAAAGTAACTTTCAAGTGTAGGCTACTTTGGAACCAAAGTATTGCCCCATAATATAAATAAAATTTTAAAATAATTGACCATTCACAGGTTTCTGTGACCTTTACAATGAACTTAGGAGAGTTTTATGTTGATTTGCCCTCCTGATCAAGGACTAATTATTTCCTCTGCAATATTAATCCTCAACCCAGAGAGACATAAATTTTGAAGAGAAAAAATACTAAGCATAGTAATACCACTTCTGGTCAGATGAACTTTATTGAATGGGCCGAGAAGGTATCTGTTTCCCCAGAGACATAGTAAAATACAGATGAAGAAAACAGATCCGGGCAAGGAGGGAAGACTGACACCCAAGTGAAGTTTGAAAACTAATACTGAGAATTTTTTTTAAGGCATTAAGAAAAAAGCATAGGAGAAGAAAGCTCAAGCCTTAGCCCTTGTACCGTTTACTGAGACGGAGTCACATCCAACACATATCTTCCCAAGGACTTTCGAAAGCATAATATTAGAAACGGACAAGCCCATGAATTAAAAGTATTAAAAAGGGCAAAGAATGCCACCCATTTATTTAGATAATAAAAGGCCTGTGACACTGTTCTGAACGTTCAGTTCTGCGTGTAAATAGGCCATCCGGGCTGCACCTCACAGGTGTTTCACCCAGCGAGCCAGCTGCCAGAAATCCGCTCTAAGCATGCCTCACAAAACCCAAGCCCTCTGCACGAAAGGCTTGCTTGGTTTTCTGGGTCATCAAAGTTAGTTTTTTTGCTCTCAGCAAACCAGGAAAAAAAAAAAAAACAGACTCAAAAGGGAGGCTGACTCGGGCAGGAAACTAGAGTATAGCCTGCAGGAAGGAATCTGAGAAGGTTCAGTCTTGTGCCAACAGTGGACTATGTGTTTGGGTAGTGCACATACCTGAACAACAACAACAAAAATTCAAAATATTTCCTGTAGTATTTGTCCATTCATTTACTCCTCAGAAATAACTCTTCAATTTCCCAGAGAGCCACGCAGCCACACCCCCACCAGAGAAGAAGCGCACTCACCAAAAAGTGACAGTACTCCACAGGCAGACCAGAAAACCAGGGACATGCCCACGCTGCCCGTGTTCTGGAGTATGCCTTTGGGGGAGATGAAGATGCCTGATCCGATGACGGTGCCGATGATGATGGAGACCCCCCTCAGCAAAGTGATCTTCTTTTTCAGAATCACCTTCTCCTGCCCAGGTGGCTCTTGGTCCCCCATGGAGGGCAGCCTCCCGCTCACATTGCCCTGCAGGTAACCTCCTTTGGAGATGGTGGCCACAACTGGCTTTCTGACCATGGCAGTGTCACACCAGAGGAGGGGGGATGAAAAAGAAAATAAACGGGGGGAAAACAAAAAAAAACAAAACAAACAAACAAAAAAAAAACTTTGAACTTGTTTCTCTAGAGGTGACTGATCACTGTTCTGTCTTGTCTTCCCCTTTGCTATCACGGACTAGCTCTGCACTATTGTGTCCACAGGTGAAAACTCAGAGGTGTGTTTCAGCCGTCGCGGCTATATAATTACTCCTCTTAGTCCTCGGAGCACCTGTATGGCACAGGCTCCAGGAGCAGTCAGTTAGCTGCAGCCGCAGCGGCTGCTGCCCTATCATTACACACCAGCTCAGCTTCCTCGTGGGCTCCTATTTAAGCTACCGCCTGTCACACCAACTTACTGGGCTGCATGATGATGCAAATTCTCCAGGTTTGCATCAGCCACATGAGAAAGCTCAAGCTTGAGAAAGCGCCAACATTACTCAGCTTTTTTTTTTTTTTTTAACAGTAGCAGTGTGTTGCTCAACGGATCCAAAGCATTTCCCAGAACAAAGCATACACTTAAAGAGGGGCTTAGCCAATCCAGAAGAAGTAAACAGGGAACTGAGAATAGACACTGTCCCGGTGACTTTAAGCAGCTCTACTCTCAGAGAGAAAAGAAATTGGAAAATGAAACAGAAAACAATTACTTCGTTTTAAGGAGTTGCTTCTTAACTTTAACGCGTGCATAAAAGTGTTGTTTTCACAGCTGTTTTGACAATAGAAAGTGCCTTAGGGCTGCTCTGTTTGCAACAGCAAAGTTTATACTTCATAATTTGTATTCTACTTACTTCCCCTGGTGTTTCCTAGCAACACTGTCAAATCTAATATTTACAAAGCTAGAAAAGTTTCTGCACACAAGAACCGTGGCTACGTACAGCTCCGCATGAACAGACACAATTATTTCTTAAGACCTATATAATACACTGGTGTTTAAGATCGCCATCTGAACTTGAAAACTTGAAAGACCATAGTGACTGCAGAAAATAGTCTTTTTCTGATTCTTGTCAGCACAGCGTGATTCACTGAACTCAGTAGAGGACTCCGTCTTCATTTGCAAGTTACTCCATCATTAAAAAGACTCTTCTTTGACTCTTAGGCAATACTTATAATTGCACGAAGGCAGGCATGAAGCAAAAGCTTGAGAAGGGAGTCACATTATAATAGCTGGAGGAAGTAAGTAGAGTACAGGACATATTCTTTTTGGATCTATAAGCTATTCTGATTATAATTTAAAATGTATTAAAATCAACAGGTACAAAGTTTTAGTGTGACTGTATCAGAGTGTTCAGGTCCATTTCCTAAAGCTAAAAGAATGTGTTTTTACAGAAGGAAATAATGAAATCTTGAGGAGATGGAAGTGTTTAATCTGATTTAGCATTCTACAATACACACATGTACTGAAACCTAACACCCTATCCATATACAGAACTTTCACTTTGTCTGTCAGTTAAAAAGACATTTAAACAAATAAAAGTACATTAAAATTTACATTGAACATTTTTTTTTAAATTAAACTCTTACACTTGAAACTTTTTTGCTTCTAACCAAGTGTCTTATAAAAAAACAAACACCAAAAGAAAAAGCATCTCAACTATCAGCCCTGGCTCTGGGTCTCTGTGGTTTGAATTTAATGAGAAGAATCCCATGCCATCATTATCCTGAAGCTATGTTCAGACCCATGATTAAATATGCTTTTGAATCTCGGAATAAAAACAACAAACAGAGAATCTCTGTGAAAGCGAGGTTGGCTGGAGGGAGGACGGAAGAGAAGCTAAGGGAGGGGGTGAAGGATTGGGGCTGAAGGTGGCAGGAAATAACTTGGAAAGGAATCATGGAAAATGTCAGAGCTTTTCTATTAGGTCCTTATCTGGGAAAATGCATGACATAATTGCCTTATCACACTAATAATGGAGATCACATGACTTCCCTTTTACATGACCTACACAAATTCTGTATAATTTGCTTTGGATCTACCAATCATCATTTGTATAAAGCCCAAATAAATACCATTTTCAGCTGTTAGGTATTCCAAAGAATAATAAATGGGGAATGTTCCTTACTCAATCCTGTACAGATTCCTCAACAGGAAAATGGAGGACTCCCCGCCCCCCCCCGTTCCATTTTCCTGTTCTTGCTCAAATGTCCACTCACATAATTCTCCTGATTAATGAGCATAAACAGGACTCTCCCTTTTTCGTTCCATTTCTCCTATTCTTGAGCAAACTTCCACTCACATAATTCTCCCGATTAATGAGCACAAGCAGGGAGCAGGAAGCTTTTGTTTCCTCAAAGAGGAACAATAATTCCAAAGAAATAAAAGTTTAAAGCGAAGCACAAAGACCCCAGGCAACAGTGCCTGGTCCCAACCATGGCACTACACTTTGATGACTAAATTATAAATGGTTGGACCAGTAAAACTGGACACTATTAATAAGAGAGGTTGTTGGAAATATTTTAAATAACATTCTCCTCCTGGGTAATTTTGATAAGAATTTATGGAGAAAAATATTCTGAAATTATACTAATAGCCAAGAAGGTCATACTATCCTGTCTGAGACTAAGATTCCAACTTTCTTCAAAACTGCACACAGCTAATAAAAACCTTAGAACATCTCTTTGAACCACCTACAAATTTACAAAAAATTACAGGTTTCAAAGAAAATATTGAATTACCTTTAATGTTAATATGTCTTTATAATCACCAGTGTTAACCTTATAATCTTAGAATTGGTTGGTCTTCAAGTATGTATGTGTCATAAAAACAAATTTAAATCAAACACACTCTCTCCCTTTTGCCTTCGGTGTTATTTTGAGCATTTTAGAGATTATTCATGAACACATACTTAATGTTTACTATATGCAAGGAATGACCTCAGTTCCCTAAAAGAATCCCACATGTGATATGCTGTGCTAGCTAACATGTTATGCTAAAGGTATCAGCCCCATGTGTATAAATGTGGCTGTATGATTTAGATGTGGCCAAACACATAGTTATTTTTCCAAATGCAGCTCATCAGAATGAGACCTGAGCTGAGACATTTCTAATTAGGACTAGAGTTACCCTTTCTTTTTTGGTGGCAGTTGTAATGGCAGGGATCATCAATCAACTGGTAGACATGTCTCTGTATCCATGGAAAAGGTCCCCATAAAGATACTTAGTGTTAGTATCACAGCACTATGTCATCAGTGCCAAGAAGGTCAGATGGGTACTGAACTCTGAAGATCTTCCATTGATCTTATCAGTTACTGGGGTTCCTTAATAGGAATGCTGACTGGCATCGCATATATGTATCATGCATGTGAAGTGTCTAGAAGCAGGTTGTACCATCTGATAGCCATTAGCTGCAGGTAGTTACCAGTTTCTGGAAATGTGTTTCAAATTTAAAGTTGTATGAGATGACTTCCATAAGAAAGAGATTATATGCTTGATGAAAATTTAGAGAGCCTTCAATATAAAAGAGATGAGACATATATTTTATTTGTTATGTTTGAAACAAGATTATTCTTGCTCTTTCAAAGAGTAAAAACTATGTGTGGCAAGCAGAGAAAAATGTTCAACTAATTTTATGCATCTCACCGTAGTGCAGAAGCTAACAATTTTTTCCCTCTAAGTAGCCAAGTAATGAATAATTTAGGCTTCATGTTCATTTTTGGTGTCTGTACAGTGTTCTTCACCTATGTATATAAGTGTGTATGAACATGTGTTACAACCCTTTAAAAAGGTAGCACTCATTCTTAGCTTCTGTGTAATTTTCCAGCTGTTTGTCCAGCAGCATCATGTCTGCAGTCAGAATGAAACAAGACAAAACCATTGCAATGGCTCATAGTAGGGAATTTTTACAAATACAGTTTTATTAAAATACACCCATAGTCACTTATTAATCTATTTCTAAAACTCCTTTCACATCGCAGCAGCATGGCTGGACCCCTGCAAAAGAGTCAAGTGGACCCCAGAACGGAAATGCTTATTTGCCCCTAGCTTAAGAGCACACAAAGGAACTGACCAGCATTTACATTTACCATTTTCTTCTTCTAATACCCATCCTTCTGTGTTTATTGTTTTCAAAAAGAGGTATGCTTCAGACTTGATTCAGTAAAACCATCCTTCCCTCTGCCTGAGATTCTATTCCTTAACCCACTTATATTGTTCACACACCTCAACAGTTACAATAAATTTATATTCACCAGTTTTCTCTGATCTTCATTAGATTGGGTGTTCCCTGATACGGAACTGAGTTCACAGCTCTGTGGCATCCTGAAATGCTTAGTCTGCTATGAAGTAGAAATCACAGAGTACATTTTATAATCATTAATCTCAGTACAACAAGCAACACTGGGATGTGTCTATAACACAAAAGGAAAAGGTGGGGCTCTGGAGCAGGGCAGAGGAACAAAAGAGCTAAGTCATGATTGGTCATTGGTCATGCTAAAAGGTAGATGTGTAACATACAGAAATGAAAGCTATATCTATAGCAGAATATTATTACAAGATTTGGATTTAAACAGGGGGAGGAACAAAAATCACACTGTTTTCTTCATGGAATAATAAGGAACTCAACTTGCCTAGGGATTGATAAAAAGCAAGGACACTGTTCATTTCTTAATTCTTTTAGAATACTGTGTTCTTACTGACTGATAACATGGAAATGGAGTGTGATACAAATAACACCAAGCTAAAGTAAGACAAAATAACATAAAGCTAAGAAATGATCAAAGTGTTTTCTAAGGTCCTTTAATAGGGGAATAGATAGATGAGGTATTAATTCCTTAGATTATCTGGTTACTTACTTGTGTTAACAAAGGATGATAAAAACACTAGATGAAAAGAAAAATGAAAGAGGACAGAGGAATAGAAGATGAGGTGGAAGGAAGGAGAAAGATGGAGCAAGGTTAAGGAGAAGGGAAGAGAAGAAAGGAGGGAAAGAGGGAGGGAGAAGGGAAGGAACGGGAAACAAGAAGGAAGGAAGAAAAGAATAAGAGAGA